GACATTGCCATAGAAGCTCCCAACAAGTTCAGGGTCACCAGAGTGGAACACACAGAAAGCACGACCAGGGAGGTTCTCGAGAACCTCGTTCTACTTTCACGTGGACCGCCCCAGCCGGGGTGGGGCGTTAGCTCTACCAGGCAATCGGAGAACAGGAGTGTGGGTTGGCAGTGCTGTGGGGAAACTCACCCAGCAGCCACACCGAGGGCACCTGGAGGGAGAGAAAAAGAGGCAGGAAGGAAACCAGCAGGGAGAGGTCACAGCTCGACTCTGAGTCGCATCAGAGGCTGGCAGAGTGAGGGGCAGCCGCACGGCCACCTCCCTGTCTGTGCCAGCCACTGAGCCAGCCCGAGGAGCACTGGAGGAGGGGCTTTCTGCAGGGTGGCTGCTGCCACCGCCACCGGCTGCATGCATGCAAATGTGTATTTTCAAAGCAAGCAGAAGAGTCTTTTGAGAGTGACAGATGTAAACCATTGCGCCCGTAGACTTCAAAGCGCCAATTAATTAAAAACTATCAAATGACTGTTTCTAGATGAATATAGTGTGTATTTGAGGAAAATCTTCTCCAGAGAGAGACAGAGACACAGAGAGAAGTATCCAAGGCATAGCCTATAACGTTTAAGAATACAAATGTCTTTTTTAACATGTGTTACCTGGTGGCATGCCACGTGACACCGAAATAGACAAAGTGAGCAGAAATGTGCAGTTCTTGGGGTATGGCTGAATGGTACAACACTTGCCTAGCAGCTGCAGAGCCCTGGGTTTGAGCCCCATTCCCCCCACACACATACACACACGTCTTCATCTGCTTCACATCCACCCCTGGCTGGCGGTGAGACCTGGGGCTTCTCCGTTACCCTTCAGTCCTGATTCTGTAAAATGAATGTTGGACCAGATAGAGCATCTTGAAGATTCTTCCTCTTCCAGAAATGCTCCCTTTAGGATCAAGGAAAATATTATGAACATAAACAAAGACTCTCAAGACTGAAGCTACATAAACAAAAACCTACTTTGCTTCTGACACCTATAACCCAAGGAAAGAAGTAAGTAATATTGAGGTAAAATACCTAACATAACTTTCCTTTTAAAAAAATATTATGTGCATACCATCAATTCACTCACAAGTGATTCCAGAGCACCTACTGTGTGCCAGCCAGGTATAAATATTTGAACTGCTTTTTAAGATTTTATTTTGTGAGTGATTCAGAGCAAAATGTCAGTGAAGCAAAGATTTTAATAACAGGTTGCCTAATAAGCACTAAATATGACAGAAAATAGAACATGGGGAATTTAGCTTTAAGGTTATATGCCTCAGAAGTCAGTGACTTTCCAAGCGATTTTATAATTAGGAGGATATTTTTAGCTTATTTTTCATCTGGAAGATTTTATTATACTCCTCTTAACCTATGTAATTTTACTTTGAGATATTCACTTTTTAAAAAGTTGTCTCCTTTCTCTGGCGCAGCAGCGTGTGAAGGTAACAGATTCCACTAAAACTGGATGTCAGGGACAGCAAAGCCACATGCACCAGCAGGGTCCTCACTGCCTATCGTGCGCTGCTCCCAAGGGAGCCCAGGACAGCGTTGGGAACCACGACAGAGTGGCACCTTACAGGCAGAGGACATCACCACAGGGAGGGACTGGGAGGGGCAGCACCTAAAAAAGTCCACAGCCAGGAAAGCATGGTGAGACAAAGCCTGCAGTGTCCGGGTGACCGGTGACAGCAGGAGGAGGCAGTGCTGTGTCCAGGCGAGGGGGCTCCAGCAACCAAAGAGTCTGAAGTCAGACCTGCAGCTTAGAGAGGGGACAGTGAGCAAGGTCACCTGTGGAGAGGAGCGACTGTGACCAGGAGAAGGGGATGTGTAAGGGACCGTGGGGTCCCGAGAGCACCCTGAGCCGTTAGCATTGGAGCCGATGGCAGAGGCAGAAGTAAGGCTGGTTCCCAAGGTGCCCACCTCTTGGCTGGCTGCTGCTGGTCCCCCAGCCTCACAGAGAGCCCGGCGTGGCCAGACTGTGCAGCACCCCAGCAAACAGAGGGGGACACTGACATCCTTGGGTCCCTGAGGTGGCCCCACTTTTCTTTCCGGGAGTCCAGAAAGCAGAGTATTTCATTCTTCAGTCACCTGTACCTCTTTAGTCTTTCCTATTTCTCCTGGGGAGGCAGGCGTCTAAAGGTGTCTCTCACACTGCTGCAGTTCCGAGCATAACTGGTTAGGTTCTGGGCTTCTCAGCTGTATAGCGATGCTGCCTCAGGAGCACAGCTTTGGGCCCAGCCACGCTTGTTTTAGAGAATATTTAGATGAGACTTTGGATTTTAGACTTAATGCTGAACGTGTGGAAACTTGGGGGGGGGGATGTATTTTGCAGGGGGGAAGAACATGATGGAGAACAGTGTGGGCTGAATATTCGTGTTCCCCAAAATTCATGTTCGAACCCTAACCCTTTATGTGATGGTAGGAGGTGGGGCCTTTGGCTGGCTTTAGGTCGTGAGGGTGGAGCCCCATGAACCTGATTAGTGCCTTTCCAAAGAGACTCTGGTGGGAATAAACAAGAAGTCAGCAGTGTTTGGCCCCAAAAGGTCTCACCAGAACGGGCCCCTGACCTGTTGCAACCTCCATAAGCCTAGGGTGAGGGGGGCTGCAGCCAAGTTGAGTGCAGACGATGTTCAGGTGCAGAGCTCTGGGAAGAGAGCAGGGGCAAGGGATGACTACTGGAGTCCAAGGTGTCTTGGAGGCGGAGCAAACAGTTTGGGTATCCTTGGGCCCTGGGGACCAACTAGGGCTGGGGCACCTTCCAAGGCTGCAAGCAACACAGCCAAGACGACTAAAGGAGGATGGGATGGTGGGTGACTTTCCTGGACCCAAGAAGGGCAGTTCCCTAGTCAAAGGGCTCCCTCTGTTTAAACTTTATCCACTGCCACTGCTCCCATCACATTCTTTCCATATTGGTGAATAGATTAAAGCCAATCAGTTAGTAACTGAACCCTACCACCATGACCAGGAGCTGGGAGGCTGAGGCAGGAGGATTTAAAATTCAACTCCAATCTGGACAATTTAAAGACAGTGAGATCTGTCTTGAAAATTAAGAAAGAGAGAGAGAGAGAGAGAGAGAGAGAGAGAGAGAGAGAGAGAGAGAGAGAGAGAGAGAGAGAGAGAAAAACAGGGAGGCTGGAGATTAGCTCAGTGCAAAGGCCCCTGGTTCAGTAGGTGGGGGAGGAGAAAACCGGGCATGCATTCACTTAAAGCACTGTGGGTGGGCGGGATGTGAAGGCCAGCAGAAGTACACTCCTCACTTTTGCTGACATCCAGACCGCTTGTGTACAAATTGATCCATGGCCGAATTGTGCGTCACCAAGGCGCCCACCGCAGGGAGCAGGCCGGCCTCCGGGAAGGGACCTTGGGGAAGAAGCGCGATCCCCAGGCAGAAGTTGGCCAGCCTCGCTCCAATCCGGTTGCCTATTTTTGCTCTCTTTCTCCGTCCGGGAGCAGACTGCAGGAGCTGACACAAAGTTGCAGATTCCAAAAGCGCAATGTGACTAGCGGGCTACACCGCGTAGAGAATTAGGATTACTTTGTTTCTCCTCTAGCGCCCACAAATCCATCCCAGGCCGCCAGCGTCTCCCGAGTAGCCCAGAGGCGGCCCAGGAGCCGCCTCCTTGCGGGCCCCTCCCCAATTTAGGCTTCTGGAGTGGGGTGCAGGGGCTTCTCCAGCCTCTGCCTTGAGCCGGAATCGTAGGGGCGCCTTGGGGACGCGTTCCCCAGGCTGGGCTCGGGCGTCCTAGCCAGCATCGCACAGCCTCCAGCCCACGGGAGCTACAGGGGGTGCGCGGCGTGGGCGCAACGGCGACTCGGGGTGCGCAGCGCAGAGGGTTGTCTCGCCAAGCCACTGCGATCGCGGCGAGGCGGGGCGCACAGCGGGGACGCAGCTGTGGCCGCGGTCTGTCCTCGCGCTCCAGCGCCCGGAGCGGCCACCGCGGGGAGGAGGAGCCGCGCGTGGTCCCGGCCGCACTGCGCCCCGCGCCCCCGCCCCACTGCCGCCCCGCCCGCTGCGCCGGACCGCGTTGCCGTGGCAACCCCCCCGGAGCCCCAGGCGCGCGCGCGCCCGCGGGAGCGCTTGACAGCGGCGGTGGTGGCGGCGGCGGCAGCTCTGGCTCCAGCCGCGCGCCGCGACCTAAGCCCGCGCGTCGCCCCCGGTCCGGCCCGGGCCCCCGGCCGCCCACTGCGCGCCCCGCTCTCTCTGCGTCCCGGGCCCCATGGAGCTGCTGGCCGCAGCCTTCAGCGCCGCCTGTGCCGTGGACCACGACAGCTCCACCTCGGAGAGCGACGCGCGCGACTCGGCGACAGGACACCTGCCTGGCAGGTGAGCGTCCTCCCGCGAGCGCCTGGCGACGGCCACCACTCGCCGGCCTGCGCACCTGGACCGGACCCCGCACCAAAGCCTCGGCCCTACTCGCCCCGGGCCTCACTGGACCACGTCCCCGGGCGGGTGCGTCTCGGTCGCCCTCGTCCCCATTCCGGTCCCCAGCGGTTCGCCTCTGCGCCCTTGCCCAGGTCATCCTGGGCGCGCTTCCCGCCCTGTCCTCCATCTTGCGGTCCTGACCCTGGGGCCCGGGGATCGAGGTCCTCAAGGTGCCAGGGCAGTGACATGCGGGGGACGCCCATGGGCCTCTTGGCCTCGGGGCCGTCGGGGCTGCCTTGAGGCGCTGGGCGCGGGCAGGGTGCGCCAAGTTTCCGCTGCCTACCCACGAGCTCGAAAAACATGAAGGTTTGGGCGGGCTTGTGTGGGATGAATCACCCCGTCGCGCCCTAGTGCAGTGACAGAACAGGCCTGGGGGGCCTGCTCGGCCGGGAGGGGTCACTGCATCACTGCGACCCTTGCCTGGGTGCCTAGGGCTCAGTGCCCGGGCCAGCAGCCACCGGGGCTACGCCTGTCTCCAGCCCGCCGAGGTGTGTCGTTGCTTAAAAATAACCAGCCTGCTGTCTGTCCTCCCTCCCTGGCAGCGAGTCGTCCTCCACCCCTGGAAATGGGACCACGCCCGAGGAGTGCCCGGCCCTGGCCGACAGCCCTACCACCCTCACAGAGGCCCTGCAGATGATCCACCCCATCCCTGCCGACTCCTGGAGAAACCTCATCGAACAGATAGGTGGGTGAACCCGGTAGGCATCAGCTTCATTTCGTGGGTGCCAGGAGACTCTGGAGAGGGCCTCTTGCACATGGGGTGCTGTTTTGATATTTGTGGTTTTCAACAGCTTCCCAGACAAAACTGCCACGCAGTATTGGTGCTGCTCCCCCAGGCTAACTTAGTCAGTGGGTGTCTGTCCTGCTCTCTGCAGAGCTGTCCACTTGCCCTGTGTCTCCTGTCACTTCTGCCAGGAAGATGGGGGGTGCACCAGCATTGCTGAACCAGGCAGGGGGCCCCTCCTTGAGCTCCCAGCAAGGAAGGGCTGGGAAGACTGGGGGAGATGCCTGGAGCAGAAGCTGAGGCGTGATGGGGAGGGGGGGCTTGGCAGAACCGCAGGATGGTGGCCAGCTGTACAGGGGCAGGAGAGGTTGAGATGAGGGCCCGGAGCTCAGAGGGTGACCTGTGCAGAGAAGTGCTGTGAATACACAGAGGGGCTTCTCACGTGTCCCCACAACTCCAGCACTTGCATTTAAAAAAAAGGTGCTAGTGACTTCAAATGAGTTCCCCTGTCATCAGCAGTGAGGGGCAGCCCAGGGTGTATTCTTCAATGTCCTTAGAGCAGCTGGCTCTGTGCTCACTTAAATAACAATTCTCAATTTGGAAGATTTCTTCCCTAAATACACAACTGTCCTCCAGTCCCAAACCTCAGACCAACACGGAGTGTGTCCAGGAAGGGAGCTTGAAGGAGAGGCTTCTCAGGGTCCCCCTTGTCCTGGTGCCCCACACCCTGTGGGAGGAGCAGGCGGCCGAGCAGCAGGGGCAGAGGATCTGTCCCTGAACCGCATCTCCAGTGTATCAGGCTGAAGGATGGTGGCTTTTGGCTTTGTTTGTGTGCGAGGAGAGAGGGATGATCTGAAACTGATGCCAGGTGGGAAATCCCGGATTTGAAAGAGACTCCCCAGGCCATGTCTGGAGCTCTCTGACACTCCATCTGGGATGGAGACTTTGATAATCCACCTCCCCATGGCCAAGCCCGGTCCAGTCGGGGCTGCAACCCACAGCTTCTGCCACCTCTCCAAGGGTGTGGGGCTTCCTCCCCAGGGCTGCTGCACAGGCATGGAGCTGGGGGGAGTCACTGTCTTGGGCCTCAGTTTCCTCCTCTGGCAGAGGTAGAGAATGCCACTTGGTGTCTTATTCCCAGAGGTCCTCTGCAGTACCTGCCAGGGTCATGGGGCCTACCTTCTGCTCCTGGAGGTGCAGAAGTATGGGGTAACAGCACAGGGCTGTCCCCAGCCAGCTGTGCCAGGGGCTTCTCGTGGTGCTCAGGGACCCTCCAGCAGCCTCTGCCAGGCATCGGGAAGGGACTGCAGGCTCCCAAGGTTACAGAGGAAGGAAGGAGGTGGAAGTGGTATGAATCGGGGACACTAGGTTGGATTTTACAGCAGCTGCTGGCAAAGCCAGGCAAAAGCATGCTGAAGCCAGGAGTGGTGGTACACACCTGTAATCCCAGCACTTGGGAGGCTGAAGCAGGAGGATTGCTGTGAGTTCAGAAACAGCCTGAACTGCATAGTGAGATCCTGTCTCAAAGAGAGAAAAACAAACAAACAAACCTTGTGTGAAGTGGTGTGGCTGTTGCCATATGGCCACAGCCCTGGTAGATCATAGACCTGAGAGTGGTCTTGTGGGTGTGTGTGTGAGTGGGTAAAATACATGTACAGCAGATGTTTCAATTTAAAATTTATTACAGTAAAAGCTACATTGCCATGAATCCCCTCAAAACCCTGCCTCTCTCTGTAAACATCCCATCGTGCCCTGCTGCTTTCTTGGCCTCCCTTGTTTTGAGACAGGCTCTTGCCCTGTGTTCGGGCTGGTCTTAAACTCACTTCTGTAGCCCAGGCTGGCCTTGCGCTGCCTCGGCCTCCCAAGTGCTGAATTACATTCCTGCCAGTTTCCGAAGCAGCCCTGCAAGGGCTCTTTTCTGTCTTTACGAGGCGAGAGAAGCAGTACAGTGACCGAGCACAAAGGCAGCTTGTAAAAGCAGGACAGCATGTCCTGGTCCACCTTACCCACCGGGGTGGTGCTGCGTGACTTATGTTCTTCCCCAAGGTCAAATGACCACGGAAAGGAAACCTTTTGAACTAGTTGAGGACGCTGAGATAACTATGAGAGTGCCACCAGCAACACAGGAAAGAGGACTCCAGAGCTGTTTCGGAGAGTGGCGAGGGTGAGGGGATGGATGTGTTCCAGTGAGGGAACTGTGAGCACTCTTGGCAATGTGTGTTCTGCTTCAGAACTTTACAAAGAGAAACCCTCTGCGTTTGCTATATTTTTTATCACTTCCGTGAGTGTGCGTGTGTGTGCACACGCGTGTGCATGTGCGTGTGCTGCTGTTGTCCCCAGCACCTAACGCGATGCCTGGCACTAAATACAGTAATGAAGGATTCCTGCTCTTTGCAGGTTTCTATTTGAAGGACACAAAGTGAAAAAAACGATGTCTTCAGGAAGAGGGATTTAGAAGGGCTGAGGGGCCGGGGTCACGTCCTGCAGGAGCCCGGCCAGCCAGGAGCAGGGCACCCAGGGCAGGTCGCTTCCCCGAGCTGAGATGGTGGCAGCGTCTTCAGCTCTGTGACCATGAGGCCCCGAGGGCCAGCGGTAGAGGAAACGCACCTTCCACGTGCAGTTGTGCCCACTCAAATGTACAGAAGATAAACGGGGAAAAGACGGCGTATTAGCGGCACATCACGTGCAGAGGTTTCATCAGACACCGCGCTTTCCCTGAAGTCATCTGCTCTTTCTGTATGGTAATCAGAATTTAAGCCGAATAAAGATGAAAGGTTATGAAAAGTGGTTTATATTCCCAGTAACTCCAAGAAAATTGGAGTTTAAGCTGTGTTCTAAATAGATATCTTGGGATAAAAATAGGAAATCTTAAAAATTCTAAAATTAATTGTATTGAAAGGCTTTAGCTACAGATAAAAATACATTCAGCAAAAAGTGACTATAGCCAGGCATGAGGGTGAACACCTGTAATCCCAGAACTCAAGAGGCTGAGGCAAGAGGATTATTGCAAGTTAAAGACCAGCCTGGGAGTGAGCTCAAGGCCAGCCTGAACTACATAGTGAGACTCTGTCTCAAAAAGACCATAAGCGATAGAGGTGGTCTGGCTCAGTGAACCAGTAGGAAGGAAGCTCCAAAGCTGGTCCATTTGCCTAAATAATTACTAGCTGTCTTTGTTTCCCAGCTCCTTTGGGCCTTATGAGACAGGATGGCTGCTATTGCTCCAGGCATTGCACACTTAAACAGCCATCCAGGAAAGCAGGAAAAGTGGTTTGTCTTCCAGTGTCTACTGGGGACAGCTTTTTGAGAAGCCCTTTAGAAGATGTCCCCTCTTACTCTTTCTCCTTGGCCAGTGTCTCAATCCTCTTCTATAATAAAAATACCTTAGACTGGATGTCTTGTTGGTCTTGTTTGCTATAACAAAATACCTGAGGCTGACTACTTTATACAGAAAAGAGGTTTACTTAGTTCCTCGTTTGAAGATCTCAGAGCTTGATACCAGCACCTACTCAGTGCTGATGGTGACTGCTGAATAGCATCAGGGGAAAGGTCACCTGGTGAGACAGGAAGTGGAGCAACTTGGAGGCCACCTTGCTCTTTGTAGAGCACAGCAGGTCACACTCAAGCCAGACCTTGACCCCTGAGAAGTTGGGGGGTGGGGGTGGAGGGAACAGAGGAGACGTAGCCGACAGCATCTGCCATGATGTGATTTCAGAAATACTATTTTCAACCCGTCTACCCACGAAACTAATATTTTTGTGTTTCAGCGTTTGCATCCCACTGGGAAGTTGCAGATAGTATTTACCTGGGATCTAGCTTCGGTAGCACCATTGGACGTGTTTATGAACCTAAACAAGTCTGCTAAGGGATGGGCAATGTAGCTCGGTGGCAGAGAGCTTGCCTGGCATGCACAGGCTCTGGGCTTGATCCCCACCGTGTGGGGCAAAGCTAAGGAGACACTTCTGTGAACTCTGGAGACCATTTCTTGTTTTGTTTTGCTTTTTGAGACAGGATCTTACTATGCAGCCCAGGCTGGCCTCGAACTTGGCGGCAACCCTCCTGCCTCAGCCTCCCAAGTGTTGGGATCACAGGTGTGTGCCACTGTCAGACTAGAGGCTGTATTTTTGAAAGGTGTTCAGTAGGTATTCAAGTGCCTTCCAGGTGTCGGCACAGTGTTAAGCGTGGAAAGTGACCCCAGGACCACCTGCAGGAACCAGTATAGACAGCATCAGATCACCAAGCAATAATTAATTTTCTGTCCCCAGCCATCCTCTCTAGTGTCACAATGGCATTGACCTCTGTGGGGAACCTAAAGGCCTGGGCTGAGACACTGTCAGCCTGGGTCACATTTGGCCCAGACTCTGATTTCCTTTTTCATTCTTTTGACACATGAACTCCATGCTGGATTCTGCTAGATCTTGGCACAGTAAAAACACAGGATCTTAATGGCTTGGAGTCCAGGCCACCTCCCCTTAGCGTGAAAGCTTTATAATGTTGATTAAGAGCCTCAGGGGCCAGTTCATTTCCAGTGCAGATTTGGGAGGCTCCTGCCAGGGAGCCTCGGTAACTCACCCAGCCACCATCGGGGTTTGGGAAGCACCTGCCTCCCCCTGCTGCTTAGATGGATCTCTGCAGCCCCTTGGGATCCTGAGCGGATGAGACGCTGATTTTTGCTTCAGCACGAAGATTTACAGCCATTCCCATTTCACAAATGAATACGGTTGAGTTTAATGCTGAAGCGTCTAGGGCTGTGGAAGGGATGCATCCGTCAGGGATATTAAAACATAGCCGGGACAGTTCCACCAGCCCTGCCTGCAGGGCGGTGGCCACGCAGCTCTGTGTTCGCGTCTGGCCCCCCACAAGTGGGGACAGCATGTGTGAGCGGGCTTGGGTGGGCAGTGTGTTCAGGGGTGACTTTATTTGTTGGGAAAAATGTGCACACTCAGCTGTGTTCCTAGAAAAGGAGAAGACGGCGGTGGCTCCCATGCCCCTGGAGGCTGCCACTGAGGTGCACCAGCCTGGCTTTCTTGGTATTCATCTAAAGTCCTGCTACCATTCTGTGATTTCAGGACTCCTGTATCAGGAATACCGAGACAAATCGACTCTCCAGGAGATCGAAACCAGGAGGCAACAGGATGCGGAAATCCAAAGCCATGAGGATGGGTCCCCGGCCGGTGAGGACGCCCCTGAGGATGAGGAGGATGAGGAGGAGGAGGAGGAGGAGCCCGCGAGCCCACCCGAGAGAAGACCTCTGCCTCAGATTTGCCTGCTCAGCAACCCTCACTCCAGGTTCAACCTGTGGCAGGACCTGCCCGAGATCCGCAGCAGCGGCGTGCTGGACATCCTGCAGCCCGAGGAGGTCAGGCTGCAGGAGGTAGGTGCTGGGGACTGCATCCTCAGGGACACAGGCATGGGCGGTGTCCTGGGCGGAGGGCTTGGAGTGACTGCCCTGGCTGGCACCCGAAAAATCTCTTGCAGCGTTCCTGCAAGGAAATAACACTATTTCCTGGGTGCCTGCCTTCTCAGGCAGCTCTTGGCAGTGTTGAGGGTGCAGAGCTTTGCTGCTTGGTTGGGCGGGAAGGTTGCGTTTTTACAGCTGTCTCTTGTCATGGTGGTTTCCACACACGCATGGCACTCAGCTTGAGGCAAGGTAGACCGAACTCTACCTTGTTTCTTTCTGTTCACAGTCTTCCACCACAGCAGTGTTGGGGCCATTTGAACTTTGGATGGGAAAATATTTTGAAAGCAAACCTTGGTCTGGCCACCTGCTACTGAAATGGTGCTACAGAAATCAAGGACCTGTGCTGATCACCCCTTTGTTTAGTGATCCAGGTGGACATTAGCTGACATGGGGAAGGCTGAGACCAAGTCACAGAGGTCCCCGGGGGCTCGCTGCTACCAGGGTACAGTCCCTTAAAACTCACCTGGACAGAGCAGGGGATGGTGGCACATGCCTGTAACGGCAGCACTTGGGAGGCTGAGACAGGAGGATGGCTGTGAGTTCAAGGCCAACCTGAACTACATAGTGAGACCCTGTCTCAATAAACAAAACTAACGGGCAGAGATGAACGGTGAGACCTCTGAGTGTTCATTTGAGTTGAACAAAGGTTATTTGAGCGTCCAGGACATTGAGTGGCTTAGAGAGACAAGAGTATGGTGGATGGCAAGGAGAATAGATGGCCAGGGCTGAGGAAATGCGTGTGCACACCAATGTGTGTGTGCGTGCGTGTGCTGGAAATTTCTGTGTTGGGAACAGAACGCAGGGCCTCACAGGTGCCAGGCAAGTGCTCCACCATTGAGCAAAACCCCAGCCGCAGTCCCTTTGGGATTTTAAAAGTGAGTGCAAAAGGAAAAAGTAAAACATGCTGGCCGTCATCTGTGTCTCCGCAGCAGCCACCCCTGCCCCCTGCACTCTGCAGCCCTGGCTGCTTCCTGGTCCTGGCTTCTCCTTCTTTACTCCTGTGCTATATTCCATAAACGCCTTCTCTGTTCTTCATTTTTATTTAAAAAACAGTTGAGTTAGGAGGATCACATAAGCTCATGGTGACACTGCCAGGCCCCCATCTCTTAAAATAAATAACCAGAGGGCTGGGGATGTAGCTCAGCAGCACAGCACCCACTTGGCAAGTATGAGGTCCTGAGTTCAATTCTCAGTACCAAAATAAATGAATTGCCGGGTGTGGTGGCACACACCTGTGACACCAGGGCTTAGAGGCATGAAAATCACTGCAAGTTCAAAGTGAGTTATGTAGTGGGTTCCAGGCCAGCGTGAAATGTGTAGCATGATCATCTTCAAAATAAAACAAAATAAATAATAAGCAAATAATCAATAAAAAACAGTAGACTCTTCAGCATTAACTACCAGAACTGAGAAGAGCTCAGCTCTGTATCTTCCAAACCAGACTCAGGTTTGCTCACAGACCTGCAGCTGGGAAATCTAGGCTCTGTAAATCCAGACTTTGAAACGACTCCGGGGGTCCCTAGGGGTCCCGGCCAGTGCAATCAGAAAGATGTTTTAGTCATGCTGCCCTCCTTACCTGGGAGCGGCGAATTATAAATGGTGGCTTCAGAAGCTTGCTTTTGTTTTTCCAAATGAAGCTTGTGCTGTAGAGCTCTGAGATCAACCCTAGCAAGCTGAGTTTAAAATATCATGGCCTGAATCGAGTATGGTGTCACACACCTGTAATCCCAGCACTCAGGAGGCTGTGGCAGGAGGACTGCTGTGTGTTCAAGGCCAACCTGGACTACAAAGTGAGCTTAAGTTCAATTTAAACTGCATAGTGAAACCCTGGCTCAAAAAAAAAAAAAAAAAAAACATGGCATGAACCGTTGCCAACACCAGTGGAGCTAAAAGCAGAGAAGGAGCCCTGCCACACTGCAAGAAAAACAGAAAACAGCAAAGAAAAGTGTAAAAAGAACAGAAGAGTGATTAAGACACCAGTCGGTTAGAGCAATCAATGTTAGTTGCTGAAAGTCCTCCATAAAATACCAAAACCTGCAATGGTCAGAAAGGTAAACCCGCTATCTGAGCAGACCGTAAAGCCAGGACAAGACAGTAACAAGGTCGAGCTGGGATTCCGGTAATCCCAGCACTTGGGAGGCTGAGGCAGGAGGATCGTTGAGAGTTCGAGGCCAGCCTGGCTACAAAGTGAGCTCAAGGCCAGCCTGCAGTGCATAGCGAGACCCCAGTGCGTCCAGCCTTTCCTTTGACCACTGGCCTCTCTAGGGGGCCAATGCTATCCAAAGTCTTTGTCCTAGTAGAGCACAGCCCTTAGGCGCTGTCTGCTTTTGAAGTTGAGGCGTTTATGGAGATGAAGTGCAAAACCATTAGAGGTCATTACAGTGTTTCTCCCCTAGTATTTTTACACTGGTTTGAGCCAGGTGTGGTGGTGCACATGTGTAATTCCAATACTTAGGAGGCTGAGGCAGGAGGATGATGAGTTCCAGACCAGCAAGGGCTACACAGAGAGTTCAAGGCCAGGCTGAACTACACATTAAGATTCTGTCTCAAAAGGAGAAAGAATGGCTCGGGAGATGCAGCTCATGACGCACTGGGGGGATATCCACATCTAAACCCATAACATACTACCATACGTTAAGCCATAACGAAAAGCCCGTTTAATTTTTATTAAAACTTTACTGTGGCTGTGATAAATCACTACATTGTAGTGAAACAAGCAAATAAAAACTTAAAATCAGAAATGTTTCAAATGCTCCTAACTTTGAGGATGAGGAAATAAATTTAGTAACTACAGAATACATCCAAGGTGACCAAGGCAAGCCTGAAGTCCCATGGCGTGGCATCAGTGCTGCATTTAGATTGAAATTCACAGCCTTTCATGGTTTGTTAGGTGAGGGATAAACACAAAATCGGTTGAGCTCCTCCGATGTCAGAGAAGACACCCCAAAAGCAAGGTCCCAACACCCCAGAAGGATGCTCCCGAGGACACCAGCCAAGGCAGAGAGTCCCGAGAAGAGGCTGAGCAAGTGATCTAAGAAAATGCAAGCTACCAAACACAGGCTCAGAAGCAAGTATTTTAGGTGGGTGCAGGCACGCAGCTGGAATACCAACCACTGGGAAGGCTGAGGCAGGAGGAGCCCTTGAGTCCAAGAGTTCAAGACCAGCCTGAGCAACATAACAAGACCCTCTTTAAATTTAAATATGTTTTTTTTACTTTTTTTTTTTTTATCAGTACCAGGGATCAAACTCACGACCACACGCTTGCAAGGCAGGCGCTTATGCCACTGAACTAAATCCCCAGCCCCTTAAATACATTTTAAAATAAAAATGCTAAAAACACAACAGTACACCAGTATTCAAAAGGATTACTGGCAGAAGAGAGGCCAAGCCTGGTGCTGAAATGCAGCAGAGCTCCTGGTCTGCAGCAAGCTGCCTGGCAGGACCCGGTGAGGGCAGGGCCGTGTGGGCAGCGCCCAGGATCACCTCCATTCCAAGTGGTTCCCAGAGGTGGAGGCACTGCAGGTTTCCTTCTGTGGGTTCTCTCTCAGCTCCCTGAGCCCCCAGGCACTGCAGCAGAGGTTGGATAATGATGCCTCGGGCTCCAGGCCACTGTGGGGACCATGGTGCTGCTGCCAGGTGCACTGGGGGCAGTGGACGCAGGGAAAGGCATGGAGGTGACTGCGCTTCAGAATCCTTTCACAGGCTCAGGTGGCTGCGGTTCAAAGCTAGGAAAGTAGCGATCATCAAGTCCGATCATTACAGCACATGCAAGTACAAGTGTTTTAAAACCCACCATGTAGTTGAAGGCTGTGCGTGTGTGTAGTCAAAACCAGTTTTCTCTCAGTGATTAGTAGAACCAAGGACAAGAGATCATAGAGAATGCATCGACCCCCCCCCCAGCGATAGCAGACTATACAGGGCTCTCAGGTGTACAAAATATTAGTAATTAAAATATATGAACAGCGCGGCTGCGTTTAAAAAAATTAAAATAAATAAAATAAAATGAAAATAAAAAATAAAAAAAAAATGAAAAGAGTAACATATCATGGCTAAGTGGGGTTCACCCTGAGAATGTAAGCTTAGTGAAATATTTAAAAATCAGTGCACAAAGCTGGGTGGCGTGGTGACTCACGCCTGTAATCCCTGCACTCGGCAGGCCTCAGCCTGTAATCCCCAGTACTCAGGAGGCTGAGGCAAGAGGATCACCATGAGTTTGGGGCAGCCTGGGCTCCACAATGAGACCCTGTCTCAAAAAAAAAAAAAAAATTGGGGCTGGAGATTTAGCTTAGTGGCATAAGCACCTGCCTTGCAAGCAGGCGGTCATGAGTTCGATCCCCAGTACCGATAAAAAGAAAAAAAGAAAAAAAATCAAAAGAGACTGATAAGAGCATAAGAAGTTTTAGACTTTGAGAAAATATTTCAATTCATTCATCTAACAAGACACAGCAGAATATATACAAACTCAACAGGGAAATTTTTAATGTAAAAATAGATAAAAGATAAGCTACTTCAATAGAGGAGATATATAAAAGACATAACCGCATATTGGCCTAAGTTATCTTTCTCCTGTTGGTTTTTGCAGGGTGGGGCAGTAGGGCTCAAACCCAGGAACACTGTATCACTGGGCCTTTTATTTACTTACTTTTTTTTTATTTGGAGACAGAAGTCTCACTAAATGGCCCGGGAAGGATTCAACTTTGAGATTCCCAAGAGCTGGATTACAGGTGGGCACACCCACTGCTCCCTGCTCTGAACTTGGCATTAGAAACACACTAGGCCTGGGCTGATGCCTGGAATGTACCAATCCTAAGATATTTTTCACTGTTCGCTGAAAACTCAAGCTTAGCCACATCCCACGTACTTTCAAACATAGTGACTCTATCAACCCTCTCACCTCAGCCCATCCTTTAGCT